AGTGTGATAGGTTTAAATTGCATGGGTTAATTTGGTGTTATGCCATCTGGGTAAGTTGGTCATGGATGTGGTTTTCTGTGCTTAAAGGTTAAGCTAATTTGGTTCAGGATTGTTGAGAAAAGTTAAGTTGTCATTTTTGCTACAGCAATATGTCAAGAATTAAACCGCTTCCATTTTGGGGGAAAGTTCTTGGTTTTATTTTAGATGTAAACACAAAAGCATAAGGTGGGAATGGTGCTCAGTTAAAATGATCACAGAACAGGCCATTTCATGGTTGGAGGAGCTATAGGAAGAGGAGTCTATTTGAGGACTGGTAACATAGGGGTGAATGAACCGGAAAAATCGGTGTCTTCAACTGCACTAATCCCTGCTGATGACCGGATGCCGTTTCCTGTTTTTTTTTTCCAATAGAAAATAGATTATTTGAAGAAAAAATACCAGCAGCAGCAAGGAAAGTCGGAAAGATGACACCTTTTTTTTTTTTAATGGAATAACTACGTACCACTACAGTATCTTTAATTGCGATAGACCAGAAAAATACTACGGTTCACATGGGGACTAATTATTTACATAGGTTTAAAAATGTTGAGTTGGTCAAGACAGTTAAATTATTTTGTAATGACATATTGTTCTTTAGCTCTGACTTGAGTTTTAATCTGATCAGTATCTTTGTCAAAGCATTTTTTCATTTGGGTATAACAGTTTTTGTGACGCCCTTGTGTTTGTTGAGAATTAATTGGTTTCCTTGTTTTGCTCTTCAATGTTTTAGACTCTTGAACAATGGTAAAAGGACTCTTTTTTAGTAGAAAAAGGAAAATGAACTGTGTAGGAACTTCGTTTTTATTTGTGCAGTGTCTGTGGACATGGTTCAACTTATTGTTGTAATAAGGCGCACTGTCAAATGTTTTATATACAGTAGTATGCAAAGAGTCTTTAATTCAAGTCTGTTTCCCTCTCTGAAGCATAAATAACTGTAAAATCATGCAGAAAATTATGTTTTATCAATGTTCATCCTCCATATGAAACACATAGCCTTGCCATTTTCTTTGATTGGCCACGTTTGCTGGAGGCCATATTAGATTAGCTGGTCATTTTAGATAATTTCACTGTACATTACTCAAGTCTGGCAACTGTCAGAATTAAATACAGTGGCACATCAGATAATTAACATGATTTGTTCAAGCACCATGTTTCTTGTACAATTTGTTCTTTTTAGAGATCAAATTTGGAGCTAGGAAGAATTTTCCTCCGAGTGCACACAAATAAATTTGTTCTTCATGCGTGAAGTACATTACTGTACTGTATTTGGTTTGTAGTACAAGTGTAAAAAATTGCGCCACAAACATTTGTTCTGCAGAAAATTCGTAGTACTGTACAAGGTGTTTGCTATATGAGGTACCAATCATTTATATGATGTCTATTTATAAACACCTTCAGAATCAGCTCTCTGACGTGTATAATTCTGCACGATGAAATGTAGAAGGGAATCGAATTTCCCCATGGACTACATGTAAAATACGGTATACCGCATGTATGCAGACCATTATACTGTACTATATACTGTACTGTATTAAGCTGTTAATTCCCGAGTCTCAACGGCCCGTGGAGGAGAGACACAACAAAAAAGAAAAGATTCAAGAGGAAATCGCAGTTTGCGAACTCACCTACCTATACCTATAATGTACATACACACACACACACGCGCCACACGCGCGCGAGGTGCAGGGTTTGGCAACCCTCCCCCTCCATCGTACGAGCACAAGGCGGGAACCAATGGCGAATCTCGTCCGGTCGGTGGCGCCACTTTTTCCTCCGGCGCGCGCGCGTGTGTGTGTGTGTGTGTATATACTGTATATATACCGTATATACAGTATGTATCTGTGTGAGCGGGGAAGCTTGCGCGATTTTTATTTTCATATTCACTTAATTTTCCTTCCCGACAAGTTTTTCTTTCCGTCTCGTCTATTTTATACTGTAATGTACTGTATTCGCTCGTTTTTCTGTTCTTGTTTTATCGTGCTGTGTGTGATCCGTATCCTCGGGCAGCTGCTGTATAGATGGGGGGGTTGTTGCTGGTACTGATGGAAGGGGGTTGGTGGTGTGTCAATTGTAGGGCAACTGCTGTTGGGCGCAATATATATCACCACTGCCACAACCTCCATCACACTCGCAACCACAATCAACTGTGGACTCGGTCACCTATGTCACCACCCTGCATATTGTATCTCTCCCTCGTTTACTTGGTTGCGAGGGTGTGATGCAGTATATCTCCACAACTACTGCACAGTGGTACAATATTTTTAAACGAAAAACTTATTTTCAGTAGAGAAAAAATTCGCTGTACAGTACTGAGAAATTTTATAATTGGAAACCGAGAAAAATTTATTCGATTTTTTTGAAAAACGCTATGATTGAAAATTCTTTAATAATTATTAAAAAAATTCCTCATGATGAGAAATTCGTTTTGATGAAAAATTCTGGAATAAAGGAAAGAAGGGTGATTTGATCATTTTACGAAATTTTATTTCTGTCAACTAATGGTACACATTATGTTGTACGGGATGTCGACATGCTATTTGATGCATGCATAATTTTCTTTTGGCATTTGCGGAAATAATATTTTGCTCGTCATCGGAAGTATTCGTGATTCCTTTAGTATATATGAAGAATTTCTAATTTTCTTGGCATGTATAGAATTTGTATTTTGTTTATCGATCTATACAGAACGGGTATTTTGTTCTGTATGCACAGAATTTATACAATCTTCGATGCGTAAAAAATCTGTATTTTGTTGTTATGCGTATGGCATTAAAAGAAACATCATATTTTTTAAGAAAGCAAAAGTTTTACCTTATAAGCATTTTTTTATTCCGTAAAATTCGCTTTTTAAAATTTATTTTCGACACCAGGGGTTATCTGCAGCTGTTTTCAATATGGTGAAATTTGAAATGTCTTCGCTAAAAAATTGAAATTTTTTAAATCGAAAATTGGTCATGTATGCGTGCCATCGTTTCGAATAAAATACTGTATTTCTGGAGCATGACCGGAATAAAAAAGTTTGGAAATTTGGATCGGCGCAGGAAAATTTGCGGAAGTTCTGCCCAAAGTTCATGCTCCTCGTCAGCAAAAAAAAAAGGAAAGGCAAAACTGCACGAAAATACTTCCACGCCACAAAAAAAAAAAAACCCAGTCATATATAGCAACATTGAGAAATGCGTCAGTCCTTGACTCCGCAAAAGTGCAGAAAAGTGTGCAATCATCTTGGGACTATTCTGGGTCAAAAAAATCCCATTTTAGGTATGCATTTCAGGAAATATTTTTTTAAATAATAGCTTCAATTCCGTGATATTCAACGCTGTGAAAGAGGAAATAATCTGGGAAATTGCATTTACTTCCTTTGGGCGCAGTTTTTTTCTTTTACAGCATGTTCTGAACAACTTCACTTAAATAAAATGGTTTAATTTTCAGTCCACCTATTTATCTTTCGAAATCCGATATAGTAAATCAGAGTATATTTTTGAATTCCCGTGATTCACATTTTTCAAATTCTATGCTTCATATTCTTTGAATTCAGGTATTCATAAGTTTCAAATTAATTACTATACTTAATTTATTTTTTAATTTAATGATTCAGATTTTTTTTGAAATTCAGTGATTTTTAATCCAGTTTAGTGAAATACAGTACATTACTGGGGATGTGTATATTTTCTAAATCCTGTTCTGTGTATTTTTGAAACCCAGTTCATTAATGCATTTTCGAATTCCAGTACTGTAATGCATATTTTAAAATTCCGTTATTCAAAATTTTGCAGTCAAAAAATCTACATTTTTAAAATTCGGCAATTTCTTTTGGATCCAATACATTAAATTACAGTACTATAGTGTGTATATTTTTGAAGGCAAATAATTATATTTTTTAAATCTAGTACAATATATTACCGTATATTATTGAATTCCAGGGATTTACATTTTTAAAATTCGATGTAGCAAAATACTGTACAGTATATTTTTAAAATTCAGTAATTTATCTAATATTTTTAATCCAGTAATTTATCTAGAGCCGCAATCAACCTTCAGTTTTCTTTGATTTATGCCAAAGAATATTCGCATTTCAAGTGGTTCATGCGCATCCACAAGAGTTGGCAACATGCAGACAGACCCGTCTTATGTGATGCTGCTGCTGCGAACCTAATCTCATTCTCGGTCATTTTCCCTTCTTTTTTGTTGTTGTTGTTGTTGTAGTCCTTTCTGTCTTCCCAGTTCTCTTTTATCTTGTACAGCATTGCCTTTTTTTTTTCGCGGTTCCTTTACGGCATCTGCGTGATGAATCCAAGTGAGGCACGAAGTTCACTCAACCCTGACTCAGAAAGGCATTTTTACGGCGTCTGGAGCTGAGCAGAAATGGCAGATAATGGCTGTGGTTAAATCAACGCTTGAACCGGGTTCAGTTTTGTTTCTGTCTCGGAAGAAGGGAATCTTCATCGGAACTTTAAAAATAAAATATAGAAAAAAGAATATTTAATCAGAGCCCTGGTTGGAATAAAAAAAAAATTATGACTCTGACCGAGAGGATATTTTCAAGAATATTGATCAGAGAACATTTTGCGGATCATTTCCTGAATATGATGATGAAAAATAATTTTAAAAATGAATTTAATAGTTGAGATAGAATTAATTGGCGGAGCGCAGATTTATTTCTCTCATCGCAGGAATTTCTGGGCTTGTATAGGATTTATTTATTTTTTGCTCATTTGAAGACCGTTTGATTGTCGTGCTCGTATAGTTAGGAATGACGAAGGTAATTTTTAGGGAGCAAATTTAATTTAATGTTGATTGATTGCTGCGTTTTACTGCGAAGCCAACATTCTTGCTTTTGTATTGTTCTGATATTTTATTTTTGCATTCATCAGCCTCGAATTTTCGGTGCGTGCCACAGGTATATTCTTTTAAATAAAACGTTTGCAACAACAACAAAAAAATCATCGAATTAAAACATCAAGCTGTTTTTATGGCGTCCTTCATTTCCTGACCAAGTTCACGATTGCATTTGACCAACGTGTAACTTTCGCATAAATATGGTCCAAAATCCAACTGGGCAAATTTTTACTGCAATTTCATTTTTCATATTCGAAATCGCAATTTTTTCATTCTGCTGTTGAAGGTGGTGACTGAAGCATCAGTAGAATTAACCATTTGAATAGGAAGAAATTGAGTTTAGTGGCGGAAATATTATAAATAGGACTAAAAAATATTTCCCACAAATACAATGAATATCTTAAATTCAATATACGCATGGGAAAAATTTGAGAAATATAGTACTTGATAAAAATAAGCTTTCAAAATTTGAATTAGTATTTGTAGAATCAGTACTTTTACCTTAGACTACAAAAGATATACATAACTTAATGTATTTGCAGATTTCATTGCGTCATGGATTTATTTTTTTGCAGTAGATGAAATGTGTATTGAAAATATACGCTTTCCATCATGCAAGAGATTATGCAAAACTTCGCTTTCACTTCGTTATGAATTTATGCTGGGCCAAATAATGGGTCTATAAAGAAAGAAAATTCCTTCGCCTCTGTCAAACAATCGTTTTTCATCGACCAGAAATTCGATTTTTCTTGAAAAACGGACTCCTTGAATTTTTTTAACGTCCAAAAAATGTGAATAGTTTTTATTCAGGTTGGAGGAAAAATACGACCGCGAATATATTGTCTGATTTTCCGCCAATGTATATATTTTACTCTCTGAAATGCACTTGCATTGATGGCTCAAAAAGCTTGAGTTTCTTCATTCCTGACTGTTTTCTAGCTGGAAATTGTCCTCCCAAGACTCGTCAAGATCCAGACTCGAATCCAGATCATGAGCAATTTCTCTTGTGTATCGCTGACGCTGCAAGGCTTGAACTTGCCGTCGATAAGCATCTGAAATTTTGTTGTTGTGACATTTTAAAAATAAATTTTATTATATTGGGGATTGAGTTTGTAACTCACCTGTGGGTAGGTTGGAATTTTTGGGCCTCAACCTCCTTCTGGGTTTATTTCTACTGGGTCTGGATGGTTTTGCCTGGGGGTAAGTACGTGGTTGAGCTGGTCTGTGAGTGAAAATGGTGTCTGTGTTGGGTCTTTGTAGGACTAAGGATTGATGCTGAGTAGGTCCAAATGGTCTTTGTCTGTAAATTGGCTGAAGAGTCTGTGACTGAATGGGGATCTGCTGGAAAGACTGTTGTGTTGGTTGGAATTGCTGAGACTGGGTGGCACCTTGGTAAAAAATTTGATTTGGCTTTAGCTGCTGTGGCTGGTTAATATTTTGCTGGGGACTCTGTTGGAATTTCTGCTGTTGCTGGTTATTATTTTGCTGCTGGGGAGTCTGTTGGAATTGCTGCTGCTGGGAGCTTTGTTGTTGTTGTTGTTGCTGCTGCTGCTGGGGTTGAACAAGTTTCTGTTTTTGGATGACAGTCTGGGTTCCTTGCTGATCAATTAATGCAGGCTTCTGCTCTGTCAGGGTTTTATCCAAATTTGGTGCTAAAGTTTTAGTTCCTTGCTCTTTGATTGAGCTTTTCAGGAGTGATTCTTGTTGTCCACTGGATTTAGATGGTGCCCCTTGCTGTTGTTGACCAATTGATTGAGCACTTTGTGCAGTCCTTGTTGGCTGCTGGTTTGCACTGGCTGTAGCATTTTTCAGCCCAAAAGACCCAGGTTGTGGCTGGAAACCAAATCCAGAGCTTGGTGATGTATTCTGATTTGTTTGCAATTGTGTTCTCTGTGAGGGATCAGCACCTTGTGCAGTTGGATTTTGCTGAGGTTGAAACTGGCCCCCTTGTGTTGGACCAAGAGTCTGAGTGTTTGGTGCTGTTTGACCCCTTTGGAATGGGTCAACAGACTGGGCATTCTGATTTTTTTCTGGAGGCTGAAGTTGATTTCTCAAAGCAGGATCAGGGTTGACATTGGTTTGTCCAAAGTTTTGAATTGGTTGTGCTGACAAGGCATTTAAAAGCTGACTGTTGCTGAGTCCAGGGGTCAAGAAATTCTGGGAAGTGGGATTTGCAGGTTGCTGTCCATCTGCAAAGTTTATAGCTCTGTTTTCTCTTGCTTGTGTGTCCAGGAAAACTGTGAGATCCATTCTGGGAAGCTCTTTGCAGTCCATCTTTAGATTCCTGTGGTTTGTTGAGAGAAATTTTGTTAAGATTACATAAAAAAAATGGGTGGAATTTCAAGGTTTATACCTGGAAGTTCTGAGTTTCACGGGGTTCTTGGAAACAAACCCAATGCCTTCTCCATGGTCACAGAGCAGAGTTGCAAGAGATGCTTTCTCCCTGATCTCTTCCAACTGTCCTGAACAAGGGTTCAAATCATCAATGAAGCCCCCCACCAGAAAATTCCATCAAATGAGTTTTTTTCCAAACTTTAAAGTCTTCAGATCATATCAGAAATTTCCTGTCAATGCATGGGGATGGGGACATTTTCCCCTTACCAAACATTTAAAAATGGAGTTGTTCACATCAAACTACCAGGAACCCTGTAAAAGTACACTCCATCAAAATTGTCATTATCTCTGAAGTAAATCTCATCAATTTGTGCTTTGTTTCCTGCTTTGAAGTGATTGAATGTCTTTGAGGGAATTGGGTTGGGTGGGAAGGGGGTTTGGATGTGGGAGTCTTGGTATTGTGCCTTGTGAACGCTGAAAAGCGGCAAATAAAGTGCTCTGTTCATTCATTCATTCTGAAGTAAAGTCAAGCCTCTTCAAGAAAAGAATCATTTTTGTTGGAGGGAAAAATAATAATTGCATGAATTTGAAACTTGAGATATTCTGGGCCTTACACTGCTTCTTGAATGTATTGACTGGATGCTCAACTTGGAGGCAAAGATTCCTATTTGCACCATTAATTACTAATTTCCTTCTGGAAGGACACTAATATACATTTTAAATGATTTTCTCCTTCTTCAGTCCCCAAAACAATAGCCCAAAGCCTCCCAAAAATTTGAGTCAGAAACGTTTGTGGGGGAAATTCTTCAAGTTGAGAAGGTCTATATAATAGATTAGTTTTTATAGGAATTCAGACAAACATCTTTGAAATATTTGACTTTGGGAAGTTTGTGATATTAAGGTCCAACTTAATTGTAAAATGAATTGTCCCCTAAAAACATAAATTGATTCCTTCAAAATTTTGAGTTCTGCATTTGAGAGTTGACAATTACTGCATTTAAGCAAAGTCTCACTCTGTGTAAAGGGGGCTGGGTTCCCAGTGCTGTTGGCCCCACACATGCCCCCAGGCGCATTGTCATAGAAGAACCTGTCTCCTGCTCTGGATCTCTGGAACTGGTCCCCAATAATACAGGCGAATGTAGGTCCGAAGACAGAGTCCTTTGATGCGTTTTCAAACAGTCCCCCAACGTACAAGTCTATGTCGGCTGCGTCAGCATAAATTCTCGACAACGCGTTCACTTTCTGAGGTTGTTGGGAGAAAAACGAAAAATTTTAATTTTTCATAATTCGATGATGAAAATTAAATTAAANCGTTTCATAAAATTTGTGCAGACTAAGAAAAGCTTTGTTTGACAGACTTCATGGCAGGTATTTAGAAAGTTTCTGTTTTTATTGCAAAAATTAAGTTGAGAACCAATGCAGCAACTGTAGTGGAATGCTTGCAAAACATTAGAAAAGTGGGCTTGAAAAAAAAGTTTCTCAGAATTAAAAATTTTAAATGATGAATTGCAGCAGGTGAATATTTTTCTGACGCGTTATTAGGAGACAGGTCAACTTTTATTTTTCATTAGATAGATTCAATTGCCATTGTCTTTCTGAAATTTCAGATACAAATAACAATCTTCATTGCTACTTTTGATGAATTTATTATGCTGAAGAAAATTTCTTGCGGACTGGCAAAAAACTTCTTGCTGGTCTACAGAAGAGGGGTTGGAGAACATTGACCTAACTTAAACTATTCCTCACTCGTTTATGATGAAATCCAGTAGTAATATTTCGTTATAGCGAGTGCTAACATACAATGAATTCGTTTTTCAGGTCCCTGTTTAATGGGCACAATGTGTACGTTATTCAAATCGCTTTAGAAGTATAGAACGAATTTTTTGTCATAACAAAGCTTTTCTCCTGGTCCCAACAGCTTAGTTGTGACTGCATGTAAAATATTTGCAAAAGGGTTTTTCTATTTTTAAATGTCCATTGCATGAAATTCCATTTCCTAGGTCCTTTTTTAGTGACTTGAATTAAATTTATTGTGATGGGCGCATTTTCATGATTTTATCTTTGGGACATGGGATTTTATTTCATTTGATGGGCGCAGGTATTGACTTACCACTGGGCCCATGAGAGGTTCCAAGTCTGCGAAACCCTTGGGCTTGGGTAACCCACATGCCTCCAGCATGTCTATGTATGGAGGCAACCCGTGGTCACGCCCTCGTTGGATGTTGATTGCGATTAGATCCCCTCCAAATGCCCCATTAGGGCCTCTAAGTAGCTGAGTTGTTAGCTGAGGTTTTGAAAGAAAAGCGTCATTTGTGGAGCTATTTTTTTTTGTCTGATGGGTTTGGGAAAATGCGAATAATCTTCACTCACTCACTGCGTTGGAGACGAAGTTGTCCACTTGCTGTGCTGGCTGCAACATCAGGCCTCTGACGAACTTTGTGAACCTTTTTCCATCATAAATCAGCGGGCCGGGTTTCATGAAGGTCTTGTGGACTCCAACTAATTCATCTGCCAGCTCCAAGTCATCAAATAATCTATAAAATTAAAAAGGCCTCTGACGAACTTTGTGAACCTTTTTCCATCATAAATCAGCGGGCCGGGTTTCATGAAGGTCTTGTGGACTCCAACTAATTCATCTGCCAGCTCCAAGTCATCAAATAATCTATAAAATTAAAGAAAAAAAATCACAGGTTAGTGTTTTGGAAAAAAAATCCACTAAAACTTCTCCGTTGTGTTCTTCAGATATTTCTCATGTTTCAGAAAAATTCCAAACATATGACTTGTTACTTGCGTGATTTAAATTTGAAATTCTTTGAGATATCTTCAAATGATTTAGTTACTCCACAAAAATAAAAATAAACAAGCTTAATTTTTAGTTCATCATTTAAAAGGTTTGCAATCACAAGGATTGGCTCAACATGCTTGTCAGTCTGATGATTATCTCTTTGAGTTGATACGGTCAAAGTTATTTTTTCTCTGGCCAATTGGCCAATTTTTGCTCAGGAATTATGTTGAAATTGAGGAAAAGCAAAGTTGAAGGTCAAAATGGATAACTTTGAGGCAATAAAGTTTACCTGTCAAGTCTGTCCATATTTTCAATACTTGATGGTTGAAGGTTGGTCAGATATTCGAGATAATATCAAAAATATTCTAGATGACTTTGTTCCAGATTTGATAACCATGGTACAAGTCAGTACTTGTACCATGGTTATCAATCAATCAGTGTTCTGGTCACATTTGGGCATTTTCTTGCCCATGATGCTGAATAAAATGGTGCACTATTCACTGAATGTCAATTGAAAAGCAAGACATTTCAGGATTGTTTTCCCATGTGTACTTGAAAAAAAACAGAGTTTTGTTCCAAGTCTTGACATTGACTCACAGAACTTAGGAGCATTTCTATCCGGAAAGGTTGATGCCCCTGTATTTTCATTTTTTGTTAATTCACTTCCAACATTTTTGAAATTGCCTTTTTTTTATATGGAATGAGGTAGAAATGCAGTATTTGAAATTCTTGGAGGACTCACAAAAAGAAGTCAGGGACTTGTGAATGCCCAAATCTGAAAGCTGCAGCACTAAACTCATTGGATGCAGTTGGATTCACTTCTTTGTTGTAGTAGCATGAGTAATTTCCACCTGGCTTGACATCCAAGTTGTACTTCTGGATGATATCTGCCCCAAAAATTGTAGGGATGTATTCATACACTTCCTGGTGCAACTGCCAACAGGTGTCTTCCATTCACAAAAGAAGATTTCAACCTTCCTCCCATAAATTGTCTCCCAAAACCAGCTGCTCTGTCAGTGTTGCCATAAACTTGTGACATGTCCAAATATGAGGTTAGTGTATTGAGCTGTGAATTTTGTTGCATGATCATTTCACAAAACAGAAGCTTTTCTTTTGAATCATTTAGTATTTACTTGATCTTGATGGCCTGCTGTGCAAGATAGCTTTGGAGCCACTTGTGACCTGACAAAATTGAGACAGTCCAACCTGAACCTTGAGTAGAACTCATCGTCTTGTGGTATGATGATGTTCTCACAAGATGGATGTTGGATTCTGACATTCACTGGTCTTCCACTTGAGCAGCACAAGAAACTTTGCCCAGAACCATCTGGATATTTCATGACAATTTTTTTTAAATACAAAAATTAAAATGAGGTATCACAGGTGGTACCTTGCAATTTGACAGTTGCATTTGCTTTTAGGTCAACTCGCAATTTGACCTCTTTCCCAAAATTCAACCTGTTTTAGCTTCTTTTCTAGTATTTTTGTGCTGTTTGCCCTTGATTTTATAGAGTGTATTGCAATTCAACCATTTTGCAATTTGACCCTAGTTGAGGAATGGATTAGGGTTGAATTGCAAGGTACCACCTGTATCTCTGAAAACATACCTGTTTGTCCCATGACACCAGAAATGTCATGAGCAATAAACTGTCCAAACGTAATTTGCAGCAAAGATAGTACAAAGGATGGATTGGACACATGCCTTGCCAAATGCATGCTTACATTCCTTGGCAATGGCAGGTCTGCACCTTTAGTAGTTTTCCTGTATGCCCAGATACCTTGCC